ACAAACACAAACACCTTGACACACAGATACATACATACACACAGTGTGTATCTGTCAGTGTATATGTGTGCCACTATCTGCCAGTGTGTGTATCTGTGTGTCAGATTTATACACACTGGCACATACACATACAAACACAGACACACACCTTGATACACAGACATATACAAACACAGATACATACTGTATGTGTATCTGTGTGTCAGATATACAACTGGCACATACAAGCACAGACAGTGGCGTACACATGACCCATGGGGCCCCAGTGCGAAAATTGATCCATGGCCCCCCCCCCCCGCAGGCCGGGCCGCAACACATGACGGTGGGCACCTGGTCGCAGAGGTTACAGGGCTGCGACCGCGGTATGTACGCCAGTGCATGCAGATGCACACACACTTAAAGGACCACTCTAGGCACCCAGACCACTTCAGCTTAATGAAGTGGTCTGGGTGCCAGGTCCAGCTAGGGTTAATCCATTTTTTCATAAACATAGCAGTTTCTCTGAAACTGCTATGTTTCTGAATGGGTTAAGCCTTCCCCTATTTCCTCTAGCGGCTGTCCTCTCACTGTGATTTTCACAGTGAGACCACGCCAGCGTCCATAGGAAAGCATTATGAATGCTTTCCTATGTGACCGGCTGAAGGCGCGTGCAGCTCTTGCCGCGCGTGCGCATACAGTCGACGGGGAGGAGAAGAGGAGGATAGGAGTAGGAGAGCTCTCCGCCCAGCGCTGGAAAAAGGTAAGTTTTACCCCCTTTTCCCCTTTCCAGAGCCGGGCGGGAGGGGATCCCTGAGGGTGGGGGCACCCTCAGGGCACTATAGTGGTGCTTTAAAGGACCACTACAGACACCCAGATCACATCAGCTCAATGAAGTTGTCTGGGTGTCACGTCCCTCTAGTTTTAACCCTGCAGCTGAAAACATAGCAGTTTCAGAGAAACTGCTGTTTCACTGAGGGTTAATCCAGCCTCTAGTGGCTGTCTCACTGACAGCAGCTAGAGGAGCACACTGAACATCCATAGGAAAGCATTGAGTAATGCTTTCCTATGGGCGGTTTGAATGCGTGCGCGGTCTCATTCGGAGCTGAGAGGCTGAGGGATCCTCAGCGCCAAGGGAGTCCGGCGCTGGAGAAAGGTAAGTGCTGAAGACACACACACACACTTACAGTAGCATACACACTAGCTAACAGACACACACATTTACTGACAGAGATACAGTCAGCGACAGACATACATACACACTCACTTACAAAACATACACTCTCATTGACAAACACACACTCACTAACAGACATCAAACAGACTCACTAACACACACACTCGGTAAGACACACACAGTAACACACTCACTGACACTCACTAGCAGACACACACACTAACACTCACTAGCAGACACACACTAACACTCACACTAACTAGCAGACACACACACTCTTACTCTAACACTCACACTAACACTCACTAGCAGACACACACACACTAACACTCACACTAACACTCACTACCAGACACACTAACACTCACACTAACACTCACTAGCAAACACACACACTAACACTCACACACACTCTAACCCTCACACTAACACACACTCAAACACCAACACTAACACATGTTTGTTTTTTAAAAAATTGAATCCCCCCAGCCTCCTTACCTTTTGGAGTGCTGGGGGGATTCCCTGGGGTCCAGTGGTGCTGCTGGGCTCCTGGGCGGGTGGCCGGTCGGGCAGGCAGGCGGGCGCGCGAGGGAGCACTCTCTGTGTGCTTCCTCTTCAGCTCCCTCGCGCGCCGCGTAGGGATGCAGGCGCCGGAAGATGACGTCATCTTCCGGCTCCGGTATCAGTGCGGTGCGCGAGGGAGCTGAAGAGAAGCACTGAGTGCTCCCTCGCGCGCCCGCCTGCCTGCCCGACCGGCCACCCGCCTTCCGGGTGACAGCAGGGCCAGCCTGGCCCTGGGGTGGTCGGCTACATACCGGGTCGCAGGGGCGGCCGGGCCCCCTGGTGGGCCGGGCCCGGTCGCAGCCGCGACCCCTGCGACCCTGGTATGTACGCCACTGAGCACAGATATACACACCTTGACACACACACACACAAAAAAAAACCCCAAACCCGGTGCAATTGTAATTTTTTTATTTCCGGGGGTGGGGGAGAGGGTCCACGATGTTTATACACTATGTCAAAGGGTTCCACAGGAAAAATTATTTGGGAACCCATGGAGTATACTGATGTAGTTCAGATCGGCTGCACAGTAACCCAATCTGGATCTCTCTTCTCTTAGAGGAATATAGTGGAGAGGGAGGTGGGAGAAGCACCTTAAATGTCCTTATTTGTAATTTATCAAATGACAGGAATGTTAGAAGGCAGGAATCTAATAGTGTAGTATGTTTTAAGCACTGGTAAATAAAGAGTCAAGGGTGCACTTACACTTTGTGGAGCAATAATGTAGCTCCTTCTTATGCACTTGAGTGGTATAGTTCCAACTTGTGGATCTAGGTGTACTTCTTACTCCAGAAACAGTTAATTGATACAATATGCAGCAGAGGGGCACCTGAAAATGGAAGGAAAACACACAAAACCATATAGTGTAGTATAATTGGCTATAGGACAAATAAATTGATAAGTATACACTCACTTTTGTTGGAGTCCTAACGTTCCTCCTGAAATAAAACATAGTGGTATGATCCCCACTCTGGGATATGTCGCTTTATTTTCCCTGTGACTAAAATATGGGAGGGGAGCATTTGAGTCTTGGGCCGGTCCTTCTGCTAAAGGTGGACTTCTCGGAAACGGCTATGTTTAACATTGCAGGGTTAAACAGACAGGAGCACGGCAGTCAGTCCACTTCAATGAGATTTGATCTGGGTGCTGATAATGTTCTTTAGCATGTATCTACTATTGGAGTCAGTGTCACAACTATCAGTTAGGATTTTGTGATTTTCTTTTCTGTGTGATTAATATTACAACTCTATTCTTTTTGTAAAGTGCACTGGAAAAAATTGCAGATCAAAGGCCAGTAAGGTGAACTCATGTTAATTCTGTCCTTACTTAGGGTCAGATTTGGGGGGAGGGGTTGAGGTGCAAGAGCTTGGGATAAACTAGGCCAATACTCCACATATGAACCAATTACAACAAATCTAGCATAAAACATGACATGGCATAACCGCTTTGAAGAAAAAAAAAAAGAAAAAAAGGATATAGTTGTGATGCTGTTCCAATGGAACTCCCTTTCCGGCTCTGTAAGGCTTTCACCCAGTCTCCATCCTTCCAAAAAAATCATTGATAACTCACTTCTCCGACCACGCTTCTGCAACGGTCATCAAACAAAACAAAAACAAACAAAACCACTAAGCCCTCAGTGAATACTATTTTAGCAACCTACTTTTCTACCCTACCCTTACCTTTTGTGTCACTATACCCCACTCCTTCTAGAATGTAAGCTTATTTGAGCAGGTCCCTTAACCCAATCTGTTACTGCGCATCCAACTCGTCTGGTTACAAATACTTATCTGTTAGTCCATCTATTGTACAGCGCCGTGGAATTTGTTGGCGCTTTATAAATAATAATATAATGCCAACAAGTAAGCTGCTCGAAAGGAAAACAGCAGCAGGTCAGTAGTAACTACTAGAAGGGAAAATTAAGTGAACGAGGTCCCTTATTGAACACCAGTAGTTAAAACGGAAAGCTCCAGACTATTTCAGATTGCTGGTGCACTGCAAGTCTGGTAAAGGAGTTGGAGTAATGCACAGGCAACTCTCTTCTTTTTTTGGGGGGGTGGGGGGGGAAAGAGAGAGGAATTTTGTTTATCTTTTTGGGAGAGATTGAGTGCAGATTTAATTTCTGTGTATTCTTAAATCTCATCAAGGTTTCTAGTCTCTACAATTGTAAGGTCGCAGGGTACAAGTCTTGATACATCTATTGCTTTGAACCCTTGGAATGTAGGCGACAGTCCCTGATTTTACATAGGTTGGAATCCTTTGTTACAATGTAATGCATGCAGAGTAGGACATTACATGGAGACTGCGTGTTAGATTTCTTTGCTTATTGGACCAATGAAATCTATTGATTCAAATGTGTACTAACTGTGGAGAAGTTGACAAATGCATCTTGCTCAACCAACAGCCAATCCAAGCCGAGGGGAAAGCTCTATAAACTGCTTCACTTAGCATCTCACTTTTATGCACATAACCTGTGCAGTACAATTCTTCAATTTTTGCAGCCATTGTGAACGGATTTACCTTTTAAACATGATATACGGTATAGCAAACCACAAATAAATAGGCATCTGCACATTTAAAACATGTGTTTTTATTTCTTATCTCATCATAAAATTCCACATTTCTCCTCGTTGTCCAAGCTCCCACAAAGAATGTTACAAATTGTACAATAAAAGACCAGGCTGTTCGTTTAAAATCATATCTTGACAAAACAGATCATGCTTAACAAATACAAATCTACTACAATAAAAAAAATAAAAGGAAGGTTGAATGAGAATTCATATATGGTCCTAAACATTTTGAATGTTGCAAATAGAAGTGCTGAGAACAGTGTTGTAATGGGGAGAAAAGTGATTTAATGGGGAAAAATGGATAAATAACAGAGCAATACTAACTTTGATCAATCTGGTTTAATTTTAGGAAAAACCATTTTGTGTCACCATCGTCCTGGTACTGTTACTGTGGTGATCATTTTACATGTATACTCACACCATTTTCTATATCCCCATTGGTTGGAATGTTTGCTTTAGAACATTTAAAAGTGACATTACATAAAATAAAAGTTTCTGCCTGTGCAGATATTATTCACATTGACTGAGATTTTTTAAAGAGAAAACAAAAAGCAAAAAAAGCTTGGCTCAGATCATGTCAGTACAAGTTGTATCCTTATTTACTACAGTTGGCACCATCTAAATTTCAAAAATAAAAAGACAAAAAAAACCAAACAAATTAAATAAAATATTCAGCATATGGAATGTTTGTTATTGTTTAATTACGGAATGGTCATGCATTAAATCTGCAAAACAAGCCCTGCAGCAGAGATATTATCTCCTCCACCTGCAGTCTGGAAGACCTCCGTACAGACTAAGACAGGTGCCAAGCATATTTCATAATTGTCTTCTTCCCAGCAAGACACTGGCCGTTTTTCACTAAAAGGTATCCTTTGGCTTCCCACTTCACGACTGACTGAGAAAGAATCATCCATGATAAGTTTAGCTTTCCGGATGTCAATCTGAGACGAGCCGCATACATGGCGGTTGGCAGTTAAAGAAGCTTTGGCAGTGGCAGACATTGTGTTTTTCCACATGGAACCCTTGGCTACCATCATGGCTTGAAATGCCAAGGTGTGAACATGCAATCGAGTTAGGGGACGCTGGCCCTCTTTTAGTTTCTGGGATCTAAGAAGTTGATACAGCTCACGCATTTGGTCAAGAATAGAGGCCACTCGAGGGTAAGGATCTGAAAGGACTGTAATGTTTCCACCTTTGATAAGACTAAGCAGGTTAGGAAGCTCTTGTTCATTCATGCCCAGGGAATCAGAATATGGGATGACATATTCAAGCAGGTCCTTCATTAGACTCTGCTCAACAAACGAGGCCATCTCAAAGTGGGAGCCTACATTTTGGTCCATAGATAGTAGGAGTTCTTGAAGAGCCTTCAGTCTTGACTCTCTCTGACCTGCTCAACAAATAAAAAATATATATATTTAAATATGGTACATAAATGCAATGGATATGCAAATATAACAAGAGGACAGCGTTTAAAAACAAACAAAAAACACTTGCCTGGTCACACAGTACAAGTATTTTAACAGGACAGGGCTATACATGTAAAGGCGTGTGAAAAAGTTAATTTAAATTTACTCTTTTTGGATGTTAAAAGTTAGTTAGCTGCCCAAACACTGTAGATGTATCCTTTAGTACCTTTACAAGATGATGTATGTGTTTGTTTATGTTAAGCTCTTCACTATTGAAAACACATAGTATTTAAAGAGAACACTATAGTCACCAGAACAACTACAACTTAATGTAGTTGTTCTGGTGAGTATAATCATTGCCTTCAGGCATTTTCACGTAAACACTGCCTTGAGAAAAGACACTGTTTACATTGCCCCTAGGGACACCTCCAAGTGGCCACTCCTTAGATGGCCACTGGAGGGGCCTCCTGGCTCAGGGCTGCACAGTCAGCAGCCCTGCCGTTCAGCGTCCCCACGCTCTGCATGGAGACGCTGAATTTTCCTTAGAGATGCATTGTCTCTATGAGGAGGTCCTGACTGGCCAAAACGGCATTTGGCCCCGCCCCTGTGCCAATTTTAGCCAATCCATGGCTAAAAAATCAGCCATTTCGATGATGTCATAAAGGGGGCGGATCCAACGCAGGTGGACCCGCGCGGCGCTGGAAATAAGGGGAGTTTCATACTTTTATAGGGGGGGAAAGCCACCTAAATGGTGGGTTAAACACAATAGGGTCAGGAATACATGTTTGTGTTCCTGACCCTATAGTGATCCTTTAAACAGTTGAATAATAATTTTAAAAAAAATACAACTAAATAAAAAAATAAAAATTCTTAGCCTCACCTGGCTTGAAAGGAAAGCTGTCCATCATTTGCAGTCCACCAACGACAAGCAAGTCTGGCTCAAAGCTCTCCAACTGGGCCTTAAATTCTTCGAGGGAGTCAATCATTGGGTTATGGGTATCACTGTGCACTATGTATCTGTATAAAAAGCAAGAACGTTTATTGTAATTAATAAAGTCAAGTCATCACAATAATTGTATACATGTATTAAATGTATGTTCAAGGCTTCAACAAACTTGGAAAAATGTTTCTCTTTGGGAAGGATTGTCCATCTCTGTAACACAATGTTTCTGGGAGCTAAGATCTTAAGGTGTCTATTGATTTCTAAAAGAGCTGTGGATGCAATAAACTCACAGTAAGGTGTCTTTAAACCACTGCAAATTGTTTAGTGTAGCTTGTGTAAATAAAATGCTGTAATCTTGCTTAAATTATTATTATCCAGTAACATAATCAATGCTTGGAAGTAATTATATTGCCTAAAGTATCCCATAATATCCCTCTCCATGCTTGACCTAACTCCCAACCTATGCTCACAAGAACAAAAGTGACCCTGTTTTGCTATTTGAAATCATATCAACATATAAAAAATTACCATGGTTGCCTCTGGGATACAAAAGCAGTGTGGCTCTCTATACCAAACATCTGCCACACCCAGTGAAATTTGTCGGACACCATTGTCCTCTAGGGAAGTGCAATCACGGTGCATGATTTTGGTGCTGACCTCTTTATGGCAAGAATCCTTCAATGTCATATACCTTACATGAACAGATACACACTGCAATTTCTTAACGACAAGGCAAGACTATTATAAATGTACACTTAAAAACAGTTTGAAATGCATAATGATTATTTTTTTTTATTAAAGGAAGATCTAGTAAACTCCATTTATAAATAGATATTTGTCCTCCTGTATAACTAATTAACACATATATTGAGATTAATGATAGACAGCGTATAAGGCACCTGTTAGCTCTGCGTGACACGTGATTTCCCCATTTTGCTCCTGTTGGGTACTCCATAATCAGGTGTATATCAGCATCATTTATTGGGTCACCTGCGACTGGAAACATAGAAAAAGAAAGTAAAACGTCAAATAGACACCCACTAGAGGCATTAGTCCCTTAAGGACACACGACGTGTGACATATCATGATTCCCTTTTATTCCAGAAGTTTGATCCTTAAGGGGTTAAACTCTGCAATGTAAATATTGCTGTTCATTGAGATAACTTGGTCTGGGTGTCCATAGTGCACATAATATAATAATCTTTTTTTTTTTTATGAAGTATATGTAAAAATAAATAAATAAAATAGAAAAGCTCATCGCTACCTTTAGTAAAATGACAGGATCCTTGGGTCAGACAGTGTTTGATAACCTCTATCTAGTATCTATGGTTTTCCCAGCCTTCACCCCCAACACAGAAGCAAGGAAGACCATAGAGACTGTCATTTTTAAAACACTGTCTGACCCAAAGTACATGTATATGGATGAAGGATCCTGTCATATATTAAAAGGTAGGGATGAGTTTCATTTTTTACATATACTGCATAAAAAAAAAATAAAAAATAAAAAAAATTCTCCTCAATACTTGATGAAAGGACTATTATATTAAAAAATATTTCCGAGGTGACAGTTTTCCTTTACGTGATATCTGTTCTGATACTACATTCCTCTGCTCTCTTTAGTTGCTTAAATGGACACTATAGGCACCCAGACCACATCAGCTCATTGAAGTGGTTTGGGTGCAGTGTCCCCATTGCCTTTAGTGCTGCAATGTTAAACACTGCAGTTCCAGAGAAACGGTAATGTTTGCATTGCAGCACTAAGTCTGCCTTCAGTGGCTGTCTACCAGACAGCCACAAGAGGCGATTCCTGCATCCAAATTGACCTTTGGTCCGGTAACTGACGCTGGATATCCTCACGCTCTGCATGAGTACAGTCAGCGTCAGATTTTTCGCTACAGGAAACCATTGATTCAATGTTTTCCTAAGTGGAGGTCTAATGCGTGCGTGGCATTTGCTACCCATGTCCATTAGTGACTGCTCGTTGTGTGACAGAAGATGAGGCAGACTGTGATCCAGCACTGAGGGATATAGGCAGTAAATAAAGGAGTTTTAACCCTTTATTGTCCACTGTGGGGGGGGGCAAGGGTGGGGAGACAGAGGGAGCTATAAAACAAAGCTGTATTCCTGGCACTTATAGTATCCCTTTAATAGTCGGCATATAAATATAAAGGAAGGGCCCGACATATAGGGCTTTTTTCTTTTCTTTTTTTGGAAATCTATACAAAATTTTCTAGTAATTATTCCGGCACAATGTATAGATTAAATGTTAGGGTGTTTTTTTTCTATAATGTAGTGAGTTATATGACAAGTACACTTTAGACATAACCCACATTTTTAAATAGTGAGTAGTAAAATATATACCGTATATACTCGAGTATAAGTTGACCCGAATATAAGTCGAGACCCCTACTTTTACCCCAAAAAACTGGGAAAACTTATTGACTCGGGTATAAGACTAGGGTGGGAAATGCAGCAGCTACTGGTAAATTTCTAAATAAAATTATATTCCCAAAAAATTATATTAATTGTTTATTTACAGTGTGTGTATATAATGAATGCAGTGTGTGTGTGTGTGTGTGTGTGAATGCAGTGTGTGTGTGTGTGTGAATGCAGAGTGTGTGTGTGTGTGAATGCAGAGTGTGTGTGTGATGCAGAGTGTGTGTGTGATGCAGAGTGTGTGTGTGTGTGATGCAGAGTGTGTGTGTGTGATGCAGAGTGTGTTTGTGTATGTGATGCAGAGCCTTGGTAGGGGGTGGGCATTTTTATTATTATTTTGTCATTATTATTTTGTTGTTGTTGTTATATTATTAATATTTTATTTTTATTGTATTATTTTTTTAATATTAATATTTTTATTTTAATATTATTTAATTAATTTATTTATTTTTGTCCCTCTCATTCCCTGGTGGTCCAGTGGCATAGGCTGTGTAGGAGCTGCCAGCCCCCAACAGGACCGCCGGGCTTGTAATGAGCCCGGCGGTCCTGGTCTGTATTACGGCAATGTAAGTTGCCATAATACAGACATTGACTCGAGTATAAGACGAGTGGGGGTTTTTCAGCACAAAAAATGTGCTGAAAAACTCGGCTTATACTTGAGTATATACGGTATATATAAATGGTTTTCAATAAGAGACGTCCAGTTAAATAAAATATCTGTTTCCTGTAGTTTGATTAAACGGCATTTGTTCATTTCCTTTCACTGATGAAAAAAATAAAATATACAAATGTTTGTTAACTATACTTCTATAAGCAGGAAGTAAAATAAAAATCATACCCCTTATCATTTCCGCTGATCTTATAATTAACCAATGCTATACTGTCGGTTTTCATTGCATCCATTTTAAACATTTCAGCATATGTATTGTGCTAAAATCACTGTATGCTAATGTGCTACTACAATTCAGTGTTTAGCAAATTAACTTCTACGTGATTGATTTTCTTATTTTAATTGAAAGTTTTATGGAATATGATTTTAGCAATACATGTTAAAAAGGTTAGTCTAAGCTCACATCTCCAAACAGTCCCAGATCCGACGGAAACGTCCTGACTTTGGGCTTCTGTTCCATCATCCAGGGTTAGTTTCATGGGGTCCTACATTGGGACGAACTCCTGTTGTGATGCATGCCCTCAGGGCACTCTGACCATGCAGAGTGCTTCAGCCGAGCTCTGTGCATGGAATACCCTGAGTGATGCTGGCCATGGAAGCAATCAGTCAATCTAGCATGCATGCATTCAAGGCTGACACTTCCCGTCTTTGGGCAGCATTGCCCCCTTTCTGGATTGGACTGCCTATTATGAGCATTGCTAGTGACACCAGTGGAGCATCTCTTTAGGCACACCCACCCCCTCTCCTAGATTCATACCTCCCAATATTCAGAGGTATGGAAGCACAATATCTACCACACCTGCTCTAATGTTTATGGCATTACTGTAGTAAGCTAGGAGCACTGCCTCCCATTTATGTTTTAATCAATTTAACTAAGAATAGGGGTCACTTAGGTGTCTATAAACTGCCATCTTCTCTTGTCTTATTGCTAAGCGAAATTTAAATTTCTGCATTAGCAAAATATATTTCATCCATATTTGGATGGCAGTGATTGGCTGAGCAGGTTAGCTGTTAGTTATGGTCCTTACACTACCCCTATACGATTCTTTACAATAGGACTCTAGATATTTCCAATGTTTACACCAAACATGTCAAACTCAAAGGCCAATACGGGCCAAATAAACAAGGTTTAAGTTTACGTGGGCCGCAAAAATAAATAAAATTCAGTTTTCATAGAAACGTAGGTTTATTTCAAAAAGTACAGAATAAAAAAAGTTGACTATTGTGCATGTGTGGCAAAAAGCTGCACGGCCAATCAGCATCTCCTTATTCTAATACACTGCCCGCAAATCCAATACATTGCCCCCAAATTCAATACACTGCCTCCCCTCTCTCCACTCTAATACACTGTCCACTCAACCCAATCTAATACTGCCCCTTAATCTAATACACTGTCCGTCCCCCAATTCAATACACTGCCCCCTGCAACCACTCTAATACACTGCCTGCCTTCCTCCCCCAAATTCAATACCTTGCCCCCTCCCCCCATTCTAATACACTGCCCGCAAATCCAATACATTGCCCCCATATTCAATACACTGCCCAATACAACCCAATACACTGCAACCCCTCCCACCACTCTAATACACTGCCCACTCATAGTTACATAGCTGAAAAGAGACTTGGGTCCATCGAGTTCAGCCTTCCTCACATTTGTTTTCTGCTGTTGATCCAAAAGAAGGCAAAAAAAAAAAAAACCCAGTTTGAAGCAGTTCCAATTTTGCAACAAACTAGGAAACAAATTCCTTCTTGACCCCAGAATGGCAGTCAGATTTATCCTTGGATCAAGCAGTTATTACCCTACACTAAAAAATTATATTCTTGAATAATCTGTTTTTGCAAGTATGCATCTAGTAGCTGTTTGAACGTCTGTATGGACTCTGATAAAACCACTTCTTCAGGCACTCAACCCAATGTAATACACTGCCCCTTAATTATTATTTTTAGTTATATAGCACCCTCAGATTCCATAGCGCTGTACAATGTGTACACTGTCCCTCGTACCTCCACTCTAATTTGAATACACTGCCCTTCCTCCTCCAATTTAATACATTGCCCCCCTGCTGTCTTGCGGCTGGTTGCACCCACAACACAAAGTGGCCCCAGGGCAGGTGGCCTGCAAGTATGACATGCTTGGTTTATAGTGGTGTAGGAGTCACCTTATCTGTCCTCTGTTTTAAAAACTACTTGTAGCGCGGCTCACCCCTTCTCTTCTTCCCCTTTCTTTACCCCTTCTTTTCATCATTCTTTCTTTCCTCTGTCTTTTTTCTTCCAGCCCTTGTTATCCAAGGGAATAATCTATGGTCAGGCCAGTTAAGATCAATAAGGGAGTTTGAGACCAATGAGCTTTTGGACGATGAGTTTCGATTTCAGGTTCTAACGGATAGTTTGGCGCCTGACTGAAAACTTATATTAGGATTAAACATATATTAAAAATTTACACTAAAAATGCCCCGCAGACAGTACGGAGTAAGGATCTTCCAACAGCATAACTGGCGTTCTCTGAAAGTTTAGTGATGCGGAATGAGATCTGTGATTAAGGCTTCTGCGCAAGCCAGATTGTCTTTGGTATGTTATTGTTCCTCCAGTGTGAAAAACAAAGAAAAAAAAAAAAACTACTTGTAAATTTTACTACTTTCAATTCTTTTTTGCCCTTCATTTTTTTATTGTTTTCCAAGGGGACAGGCAATGTGTCTCATGCAGCGAATTTACTGGAAGCTCCAGTTCACTTTTATATTGTTATTTGCTGAGGGACTATTGTTGA